ATATATATATATATATATTGTACTGGCCTGTAGTGATATCTCCATACACAGTAACCATCATAAGTACTAGCAGTTTAACATAGGCGTGTTCTTTCTTAGGCACTGCTTAGCTTCAGATGTGTTTCTTTTGGTAAGGTTTACCAGAATTTTTAAGCTTAATGTTTTTTTACTTTTCGTTATTTTTCATTACATACTTTTTCTTGATTATATTGAATGACAGATTTTAAGTTTATTAGTTAGAACTCTCATTCAGATTATCTTCAATTTTAATTTTTTGTATTCAGCTTTGTTCTTTTCAGATACATGTCTCATTGTTTGTTCGTGTTGTTTAATCCAACATATGGTTTTCATTCAGTACTCTTCAAAGTCATCATTAGGCCTATGTGCCATTGCAATACTTGGCCCATTTTCATACTAACTAGTAACAAAACATATCCACCTTCTACATATTTTACAAAAATGAACCACCATAACATCAGTTTTGTGGATTAACTGTATTACCCATTCATGTTCCCTCGTTTCTAGTATATCCTGAGGTCCCCTCGGTGTGGATTCCTGTATGTGGTGAGGGGAACTCCCAGGAAAAGTTGTGTATTTTCAGTTACTTTCTCTGGGATTTAAACATCCACCCACGTGTTTGCCGTGCGTGGTGACCCGTGAAAGGGAGAAGAGAATCCTGGTGGTTGAGTGGTGTTTGGGGCACTGCAACACACCACTTTGGTCTTGAATTCCTGTAGACTGGTGGCCTTGGGGGTGGTTCCCCCTAGGGTCAATCAGCTGGTCCACTAGGGCTAGGATCAACTCTGTACCAGTATTGGGCGTTCTCAACGGGTGTTGTGAACGTCGTGTCTGATACTGGTGTTTGGGTATAGTGCTCACGAAACCCTGGTGTTGCTGCAGTGTCCTTGTTTGACATTATAGTGCGTCTCCTCGTAGGACTCCATGGCGGGTGGGGTCAGTGGGCGCTGAATCTTTCTCCTTAATTATGGATCCCCCAATCCAAATAAAAAAAAAAAAAATTAAAAATACTGCTAACCAGTAAATGACCACGCTTAGAAGACTGTGACCAGCAGTCTCCATCACAAAGTACACCTGTACCTCGCTTCCTGATCCTGCATTCACTGTCCGATAAATCTTTAGGGCAAATGTCTCCCTTTTTTATTCAGAAGGGTTTAGAGGGGCTTGCTGGTTCTCCAAAGTCAGTTAAGAAGCTCCATTCTGGAGACATCTCGCTTCCTGATCCTGCATTCACTGTCCGATAAATCTTTAGGGCAAATGTCTCCTTTTTTTATTCAGAAGGGTTTAGAGGGGCTTGCTGGTTCTCCAAAGTCAGTTAAGAAGCTCCATTCTGTAGACATCTTGGTTGAAACATCCACGGCTAAGCACAGTGAACTCCTCTTGAAATCAAGGGCCATTGGGGATATACCCATTGAGGTTACTCCCCATGCTTCCTTGAATTCATCACTAGAAGTTATTGTTGAGCGGGACTTGAAGTCTATCCCCGAGTCGGAGATCCTTACTGGTTTCTCCAGCCAAGGAGTTTCAGCAGTTTGAAGGATCTCCACTTGTCAAGATGGAATTATGGTGCCAACCTCAGTTTTGATTTTGATGTTTTCATCACCACGTCCACCTGCTGCCGTTAAGGCAGGTTATTTGAACTGTAAGGTACGGCCCTATATTCCCAACCCCCCTGATGTTTTCAGTGCCAGTCGTTCGGTCACTCTAAGATATCTTGTCATGGTTCTGTGATGTGTGATCATTGTGGTAGCAAGGACCATGACTCCTATGAGTGCAAACTGGACCCTCACTGTGTTAATTGTAGTGGTTCCCACCCCTCTTACTTTAAGTCTTGCCCTAAGTGGGTGGAGTAGAAAGAGGTACAGCATTTGAAGACTTTTGATAACATCTCTTATCCTGAGGCTTGGAAGCTATTGTTCCCTACTACATCACAGACATATGCCACTGCTACAGTGGGAGTGCAGACGGACCTTTCCGTGCCTCCATCTGAGTCTTTTCCACGCCATGTGAGGGGTCTTCTGCCCTCCATGGATAATAGAGTTGATAGATCTACATCTACTCCAATCTCTGTCCCCACTGTTCCTTCCAATGACTGCCTGGGTCAACCTCCTTGGGCACCAGCCTCTGGTGTCCGTGCAGGACCTTCTTTGGCCCCTAAATGCAGGACGATCATTCGATCACGTTCTCAGTCATTGGATTCTCACTCTCATGACAGAGATCTGCCCGCTCGACCAAGGGCAGGATCCATGGAGGTCAATCGACAGTGTTCTCCTAAACCTACATAAAAATGGGTACTTTGATACAGTGGAATTGTCGAGGTTTCGTTCTAATCTCAATGACATTAAGGCCTTGATTGACTCCTATCATCCCGCGTGTCTCTCCTTACAGGAAACATTTCTGAAACCTGCCGATACAGTCACCTTTTGGCAGTTTTCTTTGTATTGGAATGACAGGTTGTGTGATGGGTGGGTACACAGAGGGGTGGCACTGCTGGTCGACCATCTTCCCATCCCCTTACTATCTTGCTCTCCAATGGCCAGGAAGCTGCTGATGTCCAGAGCATTGCTGATGCTCTCGGCTAAACCTTTCCTCATGCTTCTAGCACTTCTGTTTCTTTCCCTGGCTTCTTGGCCATAAAGTCTCAGGCAGAGCGATTACCTCTTTCCTTTTGGGCCGATCATCTCTATGATTATAATCGTTTCTTTACAGTGGTAGAACTCAAACCTGTTCTTCATTGGTCATACCTGATGATGTTCATTATGAGGTGTTGCGCATTCTCTCTCCTGCTATTCTTCTGGTTATTTTAAACCAGATCTGGCAGGAGCATATTTTTCCTGATGCTTGGTGCCAGACTATTGTCCTCCCTTTCTCTAAACCTGGGAAAGATCCCAAGATTCCTTCTAATTATCATCCCTTCGCTTTGACTAGTTGTCTTTGTAAGGTCCTAGAAAGGATGGTTAATGCTTGTCTTATTTGGTTCCTAGAATCAAACATGCTCCTATAGCCCACCCAGTGTAGG